ATAATGTAGTTGAAAATTATTCTGTCAATATTGGGAATTTCAAGCTCCATGGTAAATTGCTGAGAAATGAAAGGAGACATCTCCAAATCACATTTTTTGAGTAACCTCTAATTTTGGACTAAATACAATGGGGCATAGATATGAAAACACTATTGGGAAGGTATTTTTCAACAATATTAGAAAACCTGATTGGATAGGTAAAATGTGAAAGTAAAACAAATAGGAAGCAGATGGTGTTTAAGATGTGAAAAACATATTGCTTTTGCACAGAAAACACAGCAAAAGCAACTAGTTGTTACATTAATAAAATAGAAAAATCCTGAAAACTGATTCTTCTAAAAATGAAGTTCCTGACATTTGAAAACTAGGCCACACTTTTAAAAAGGAAAAACAAAACTGAATGCTGTAAGATCAGGAAAAAATAAGATTGAAAGTAAAGTGGCTTTCAAGATACATAATAGATAAAAAGGTAAATTGAAAAAATAGAAAAATTGGCCAGGGAAAATGCAATTGACTGGGTAGAGTGGAAACTGGTAATAGGTAAGTACAAAATTTCAGACAGTTCTGTTTTTCTGTTTTTATCTGGTTTTAAAAATCCAATTATAATTATTTGAGAAAAGGGATCACCTTATAAAAGCTAAAAAAAAGTGGATTATGATAGAAGCATTCAGGAACATTAACTAAATCAAGATGAAGTGGAAATACTATGACATTAATTTTACAAGAGTACTTAACAGCTATTGACTAGTTTAAGAGTTGTTGTGGAGATCATAAATTCCTGGCGATTGAAGGAGAATTACTAGATTATCTGTCTATTAATCAAAAAGGAAGAGGAAGTTCTGGTAATTAAGAAGCTGTCACCTGAACTTCAATGCCCAGAGAGAGGAGTACAAATCATGGAACAATCAATTTGCAGTCACAGAGAACTGAGAGCAGAGTAGGGACTGACAAGTCTTTCAAAGAACAATCTCCTTTCATGCTAAATAAACAAAGGGGCTTGATAAGAGGGATCTCAGGAGATAAAGACTATGTGGATTTCAGTAAAAAATTTCATCTTAAAATTGTTTGAACTGTTGACCTTGGTGTTGCCATCCAGTGTATGTATAATTCAGTCATTAACATCAGTTGAATTAAAACAGATTCTGCTTCAGAAATTAAACTTGCTTTATACACTATACATATTTGAGATGTTTTCATGTACAAGCACAAAGGAATTTCACCTCTTTTGATGAGCACATCGGTGATTTCCCCCAGTTTTTACAGGACTGTAATGATATTGAAACAGTCTCTGTGCTTCTCCTACTCTTTGAGGCAGCACATCTGTGCACATAAATAATCTTATCAACCACCTCCTAAAAAATGCCTGCAGGAGAAGAAAGCTTGCCAAAATAATCACTCTGCTCTTATAATGAATGATAAACTCAATCTTGGCAACCAATTTAGCCATTGATGTGCTTGGTGTAATTTTCCAGGATGAACTTCAGTATTATAACCCACCATAAAAAGGAAAATAGTCTATATACATTCACTTGGCATCCATTTTCTCAAAATTGAATGGCATTATTTACCTTATCTAACTATACAGTCTCTGAAATGAATATCTTATGTGAGGATCACATTTAGTTTTTCACTCCTGCTCACTGCTATACTTCATTTTTTCTCAAGGAGAAAATGCTTAAAGATTTAACACTGCTATAGTCTTCTGGACTCAACTTCATATAGGAATGTTCTTAGGTAAATTCAGTAGTTCAAAATTGAACCATATCCATTACTGCTTTGACACAACAAGGTCACAAGTCATGGAAATCTAGTAGAAATTTAATGTATAAATAAATGACACTGTAAGTAGTACTCTTTGCAAATGAATTCTTACTTCTTTGCAAAAAGTTATAAAAAAGAAAAGAAAACAATAATGTCCCATATAAAGATCCCCTTCTTGAATCGCTACAACACCTGTTTTTATTAAAAATAAATATGTACGATAAAATTATAAAATAAAACTCCACCCATAGGACTTTGTTCTAAATTTAGATTAATAATTTCCTATAACCTTTCAGAAATAGTCTATGTAGAACAAATATTTGTATCCATTTTATTTATTTATTTAAGTATGCTGGTAAAAAATGATAGTATCTTGTTGCTAGCTACTTTTACTTAACAATTATTTCATAAAACATAACAGCATTTATAATTATGCATAATTTCTGACTGCTACATTTATTTCATGCTGGATACATATAATCAATCAACCAATGTATGAATATTTAGATTTTACCATTGAGTTTGCACTAAAAAAAGTCATTCTAAATTTACAATAAGATTTGAGTCAAAAATGGAATTATAATTAAAATTTTAAAAAGTCAAAGTAAACATGAAGTTTTTTCAACATCAAATAAAAAAGAAATATAGTCCAATCAACTCATTTTAGAGTATTAAAGTCTTGAAAGAATTAAACAAGCTAATGCTTATAAAACCCTTAGCTCACTGCTACAAAATAATCAGGGCTGAAATGCATTTATTTTGGAAAGAATCTAGTGATAGTCGTAAGAATGTAAAGTGTGTCTGTATCTGTTGGTTGCAAACCAAGGAGAGCAGGAATGGGTAGAGGACCCATGCAATAGCCATGAAAATTAAAAAAAAAAAAAAGAAGAAGAAGAAGGAGGAAGGAAAAACTGTCCACGAAGGCAATGAAATTAGAAGATTTTATTTGAAAATAGATGGACTCCAAGTGAAGCTTGTTCACAGGAACCTGGAATCTCTGTGCACTTGGAAGGGGCTAATAGACAGGAGGCCCAGGTATACAGGAAAGGAAAGGCATGAGCTTCCATCAGGACAACTAGTTGGTCTCTAAGTTGGAAATACTATCTCTCCAAAAATTTTTGTAAAATCATGGATTTCTCCAGTAGTATTTCCTATCACATAAACCTCAGACCAACTAGCAAGAAAAGTATGAGGAAAATGGAAACTAAAATTCTTACAGCTATAGATTTGGATGATGTAATGTATTTAATATATTTACATTATATGCTTATTTTTTCATTAATCACTGTGGGAGTCTCATTAGTCCTTGTAGAAAAAAATTATTAACACACATAAAATGTTTATCTGAAGTTGGAATAGTATGCAAAGAGAAAGCATAAAATATGATAGAAATGAATTACCCTAAACTAGAAATAGAAATCATATTAACATAACTACATTTAGAATTAAAAGTCCCACACATGCTATGACTGCTCTCAGTAAAAGCCAAATAAATATTTAGGAAATTCTTGCATTCTAATGTCTAAGAAACATAATGAAAATATAGCACTAGCCATATTGGCCACATATTTCATTTAAACTTCAAATTATAGCTCTTGTCTTCAAGGACCTTTTTCTAAGAACTTTAATAGTCTCTATGAACTATTCATATATATACTGTAAAATAATTATTTAATATTTCAGGAATGTAACTTTTAACAATAATGAACATTATCAGCCAGAAATGTGTAAATAGATTCTATTATATAAACTGACACTAAACTTGATCTTAGTATGTATTTATCATAGTGTAATGAATTTTTTGAGGAATACCCAAATAAGCTCAAATGATAGACAATGCAGGAATGTCAAGAGGTGAAATGATGATTAGATTATGAAAGCTGTAACTTAATCAATGAATTAAGCTACTTGATCAGTTATTAATATGAGTAGATTATTAGGCCTTATGTAACAGTAGTCATGGTTAGAAATAGCTCACTGGAGTGGTACTCTTGGGATTATATATCTTGTCCCTCAATCCTCCTGCACTCTCTTTGCTTCCCAGAGGCTATGAGGTGAGCAGATCTCCTCCACCAAGCCCTTCCACCCTGAAGTCCTACCTCACTCCGACCTATAGCAATAGAGTTGGCTGATCATGGATCAAACCATCAGCCAAAATTAACTTTTCCTCCTTTAAGTTGTTCTTGTCAGATATTTTGGTCACAGCAACAAAAAGCTGACTAACACACATGCTAAATTTAATTTGGTAAATAACATTTTAAATGAACTCATTGCTTTTCTGATAGCTGAATCACCTGTCTTCATAAGGAGTATGTGTTTTGTTTTTAAGTAAGAAAGCATACCTAATCCTATATTCTTTTTTGTAGACTGTTCAAAATAAGCACATTTTAACAGATACAAATCCAAAGTACACATTTTAATGAATAAAGTACATAAATTAAAAAGTCTATTTTATTTTAGGTTTTAAAATTCAAATATATACTCAAAGTCTCATCATCCCACATTCTATTAAAGTCGCCAGCATTGGCAAATCAAGGGACTAATTTCCAACCAGTTTAATTAACCATAGAGGGAAAATTTAAGACTTTCTCATCTTTAGGAGATTATTTGAGAGTATAATCAGTGATAAGAAGCCAAGGAGAAGAAGCTGTCAAAGATATTCCACATAGGGAGGGAAAAGGGTAAAAGTGAAATTTTACTCCTAAGTATGAAAACAACTGACAGATACAAATAAACAATGCTTCAAACAGACATACATAAAAGTGCCCCCAATAATAAACATATGCTTTTTCTATCTTTTTTTTTCCCTTTATCTCTCTCTTAAACAGACCACTGTAAGAAGAAACCATTAAAATTACTGAGGCACATTTTCATATATCAATGAATTCTTGCGTGGTATTTTCATTCTACTGAATTCCCTTATTTCTAATTGTCATGAAATTAAACTCAAAAAAGTGATAAAATGATTGGAGGATAAGTCATACTTAAAATAAAAGTAGGATTGTTGTATAATTTACAAGTAGGTGGAAATGAAAAGAGAACCTTTTAAAAAAACTACAGAATATTATATTTTTAAAATGTCAAAAAGAATCAGATTTTCTTTGAACAAACTAAAGAGAAAAAATTGCTCTCTAACTTGTGTGGCAAAGTTAAAACTGAAGTAATTCATTCAAGATTCAGGAAAAGAAAGGGAGGATGACAAGCAGTTATGTTTTCACAGACCATGAAACATAAAATACCTTTTTACTAGATCTTCTCCATTCCAGCAGGGCAGCCCATCCACAGCAGCTAATTCATTAACACAAAGCTGATCAGCCAGGCTGCCATAGAATGACCTGTACAGTCGAAGACTGTTGATAAATTCTCTGAAAGAACAAAGAAGACAATTAATCCTCCAAATCCATAATGACTGTTAACACAAATGACATATATTGTTGTATATAATGTTTAGAATGCAACATTTTTGTTTTCTCACGCATTTTCACATATTTCAGATACTTTTCAAATAATCAGGAACAATATATTATCCTGAAAAAAGAATACTAACATTCAAATTTATTCTTTGAATAAAATTTTTCACTGGGTATGAATATTATATAATTCCAGGTGCAAGACATTGTGAATACTCCATACCAGTGTTTGTTATCTGTCTCTCTCTCTCTCTCTCTCTCTCTCTCTCTCTCTCTCTCTCACACACACACACACACACACACACACACACTCATGTACCCTTCATTAACCTCCCTAAAGTCCTCACTAGCTGCTGGCATCAAAACTCAGTGATACTAATTATTTTCTTTTTCCATGAACAAAATGTCAGATGCTTACAACATGCTAATTAATTGCCTACTGATTAAAAGTTTATTAGACTTGGGTTATTTTCCTATCTGGATCTTCTCTTTGGTATCTAAGAATATAAACTAGTAAGTCTTTACTAACTATGACCCAAAACCCCAGCTATACAAGATTTTCATAAGCATGAAAACAAAAGTGATAAAGTAATTGGAGAGTTTAATATTTAATATGTTAAATGAAGTTTTTGTCCTCCCACATTACTTCCTGTCCCCCTAAAAATTATGGGAGAAAAAAAAAACAGAATAAAAATCCAGGTTCGGGTATTTTTAATTTAGAAGGTCAAGACTTCTGAGTTGTAAAACCAAGACTTTGAAGTACAAAAAACTTGAGTCTTAGCATTTCAAAATATCAAGACCTAAAGAGATTAGCTCCATATTTTTCACATAAACAAATATTCTAGAAAAAGAAATGACAATCTCTATCCTGTTACAGAGGAGATATTCTCTTCAATAGAAGAGAGGAGCAGGAGAAGGAAACATTGGGAGGAAAGCAAACTACATTTCAACTGCTCATTTATGGGATGAGCAGTTGAAATGTAGCAATTATGGAATCACATATTTGAAAATGAGATCAAACTGGAGTGATGCTAAGTTATAGCTGGAATAACCAATTTTGAAAAAATTAATTCTGATTTTGACAGCACTGTTGATTAACTGCATTAATTTTACAATTCTCTTTCTTTTTAGTTTTTAAATAACTATGGAAATTGTTGGAGTTGATATGTAGGAAGAATAAACACGATTTTAAAAAATGTAGCATGAGAAAACATATTTTCACATGATTAGAAGTTATCATAGCAAGAATTCATTTTTAACAAAACTTTACCAGATTAGTAACCACAAAATGACTATAAAAGGCATAAATCTCACTCAACTCTATCTTATGATTGATAAAAAATTTTATTTTCTTGATTTCACAGCAGTTATATTTTATATTACTACTTTAAGTCAGCTTCCTGTACTAGAAAATAAGTCCCTCTCTGATAGATATATCCTTAACTTAAATGCATGAAAAAATATCAATTCTTTCACCCATGACAACATAATTATTTTTTTGAGAAAGTAACAATTACTTTTTGAATGGAAGGATTTGTGACTTCTGCCCTAAATTTTATTTACTATAAATAATCATTTGTTTGGCATCAAAATTTTTTTTCTAGAAATGAAGAGGCCTTGCACAGATTGTTGAGAACTCAAAAATGATAGTATAAAGCTGAATACATATTTTTAATGGACCCCAACCCACCTACTCCAATCTTAGTGATAGTATCTAGATTCATTTCTCCCTTCACAACCAGCAGCCACCAGTAGAGAAGCCTACATTTTTCTTTTCCTGTCCCCTTTTCACAGTGCTATGCTGCCATAGCTTTAGTCCAAGCCCTTATTATCTTCTCTGTACTTATTGCACAGAGACTCCATATCTCCAACCCCAGCCTCTCCCCTTAATAAACACCTCCCATTCTCAATGAGAATCTCCTTCTAAAATTCAAAGGTAATATGCCATTGAGCCTGTCACTCACTTGCTTAAAGCCAATCAATGGCCATTCTCTAAGGCATGAAATCCAAACTTCTTAGAAAGGCATATTAAGATACTTTCTCATCTCAATTTGGGCAGTAACTGAAGCCATACTGTAGGTCCCATAAAAAAAGGAAAGGTATCTGATGTTCCCCTCAAATATCTTCATACCTTTGCACATGCTTGCTCTGAATGGTAACTCAGAATATCTCATTCTATGAATAATCAGCTATCCTGTTTTTGTCACAAAGTACTAAGCACGATTGGGTACCCAGCTCTAGGTACTTGGTGTGTGATACAATCCCAAGTGTTGGCACTAGGAATTCACTAGTAAACAAGACAGTCCCTGCTTTCTAAGAATATACACTTTGATGAAAATCCACAAGAATAATGTGATTAGAACCAAGGTTTAGGCAGGAGAAGAATCAGGAAATATTTACAAACAAGGTAACACTTTAGTGTTCCACGCAAAACAAACAAAACAAAAACCAAAAAATCAGGATGGGCAAAGGTTAGAAGAAAATATGCTAATATTTTTTGGGGATGTGCTTATGGAAAGAAATTATGGCAAAAAAATAGGAAGAAACTAATTTAATCAGCCTTATTGATCATCATAAGGTATTTTAGACTTATTCAGAAGGAAGTTAGACTCATAAATGATTTTCAGGAAGAAAGTGACATCATCACAGAACAATGTAGAAATAGAAAAGTAGTGAAGTCACCTTGCGGGCTATGAACCAAATTCAAGGGGAGAAAAATAGAACATGAAAACAACTTGCCAGTGAATGTCATGAACAGTTATATGTTTAAAAGACATTAGGAGTCTAGAATTGGCAGGTAAAGAAAGCACTCTATAATAAATTTGAATTAATTTTTGCCCCTGTGATGACTGCAGCAATGATTGTATCATACATCAAGTTTAAAAATGAGGAAGGGAATATCACAGTGGGCCACACTACACTTACACCTACCCTCATCCTGTTCAATATTTCCATTGTCTTTGACACATGTCACTTTTTAACCTATCATGTAATACATGTGCTCAATATACCTCACTGTTTCTTATATGTCTCCTGGCTCTAGAATAAAAGATTCAAGGAGGTAAGGGTATTTGTTTGTTCAGAGCTGTAGATTCTAGAGCAGTGAAGATGACATAGAGTAAGTCCAGTAAATAGTTATCAAATTAATCAGTGAGTAAAAATCATGGAATTAATCCTTCCAATCTCAATGTGTTTGGTTTGAGATTTCTTTGGAAGACTCAGGTTTAAAAAAAAAAATCAAGTAGAACCTTACTTTTCAAATTTTCTATGTGTAAACATGATCTGGGAATCTTGCCAATAGGCTCATTGAGATTTAATAGTTCTATGGTAGGGATCAAAATACTCCATTTCAAAAAAGCACAGATGAAGCTGCAGCTACTGGTACAAGAGACACGGGTGTTGTGGAGGTTTGCTGTCAAAGATGAGGCCTTGGAACTTAACATGGAATGCATTTGTGACCGTGCATGATCCACAGAATAAGGACATTACACATTACACATCCTTGGAAGAAGAGAAAGAAATATGAGGATATACATGAACAAAGAAAAGGCCCTATGAAAACAAAGGGAGAAGGTGTCCATCTCAAGCCAAGAAAAGAAACCTCAGGGGAAAAAACAAACCTGTTGACACTTTAACCTTGAACTTCACCCTCCACAACTGTGAGACAATGTGTTTTGGTATTTAAACTACTCAGCCTCTAGAATTTTAGTATGGCAGCCCTAGATGACTAATAAAATAATTAAAACATTTGAAGTAGAGTCATAGACTTGGAGATATAGATTTGGAGAGTGATGAGCATTCAAAGAGGATGAGAAACTAGAGGTAGCAAGTCTCAAAAAGGAAAATTACAGCAGATTTTTTAGGATTGTGCTTACTTGAACATAAGAGAAAATTGGAAATATTTGTATATAGAGGAACGAAGATAACAATTGTCATTAGCTTGTTCCCAAATACTCCAATTCTCTGCTTTCTGGGCATTTGACCCCCTGGAAGTTTAGCTGTGGCCTCAGGACTTGCTTTGGGTGTACCCGTTCTTTCATGGCTTGTGGTTTCAGAACTACCTTGTTGGTTATTCTTATAGAGAGAATAGAGGAAATAGAATACTAGTAGTCCTAGAGAGGACTACTGAAAGCCTTAACCACTGCCACAGAGCCAATTAATGTTGGTCTATTACCAGAATTCATACCTCTCTTCCCAAATCAATGTTCATCTTACTACATACATGACTCCTTTCCCAGTTTTAGCTGAAATGTCTCAGTGAATATAATCTTACATTCTTAAGATGATTCTAAAATTAAGTACTAGAAGAGTGACTACAACCATACAATTATTTTTCCACAATCATGAGAATATTTCCAGTTAAAATCGGGAGCCTAATAAATGCAGGGAGATATTAGAAGTTCCAGCTAATTATCCTTCAAGAACTGTACTACTTGTGACAGTTTTTCATTTTGTTCTTGAAATACAGAAATCAGACATAATTATTGAGAGTAATAGTTTAAAAATATTTAAAGGAAAAGAGGAAAATGTTCCTGGTCTCAGTATTTATTTGAAGTCTGTGTGTCAGATCCATATAAAAACTTAAACTCTTACTTGGGCTTGCAAAAGTATAACAGATGGTCCCCTTGCCCATAGTTTTGTCCTCCTTCTTTCTCCCCACACACTACAGCAAAAACCATATTACACACATTTCATAAAATGTCTCAGTATTTACTGAACCCGTTTCCAGGCTTAGCCCACTCAGTTTCCTCCATCCAGAACTGCCTTCTCCTCCTACTCTGTCTTTCTACCCATCCTTCAAGATCTCACTTAAATCTCACTTTCTCTCCAACTTCTTCCTTGACCAACCTGTGCAGCATTGTGAGGTTCATCCCTGTTTCTCGACCTGCACTTGTCCACTCACATCTTGTTCTCTGATATTATTATTCCTTTACATGTGAGTCTGTCTTCCTGAG